TACACTTTATAACTTTAGGAATTTTCATAAATTATGGATAAATTTGAGGAAACACTAAGAAAAGAGAAAATTGAACTCCTTATTGATAAAATATTTTATTAAGAAAATTATAATAATAATATTAATATTAAGAAAAATTATAAAAAATAAGGTTAGATCTACAAAATAATCTCTAATGTATCAGAAGTCAAGAGATTGGAAGTGTATATAAACGTTTATGCAATTTATTAAAAAACTCATTATACTCACAGTAGTATTCAGTCATAACTATGATTTCAACAACAGGAAAAAAATTGAATTAATGTGCTTAATACTTATTATTCATAGAATAGAAGAAGCATGTTATTTATTATTCTATCAGAATTTTTCAGGATTCCCCATAGATATTTAATAATTGATATTATGATTATAATTCCCTCTACTTGCTTGATATATTTTGATAAAATTAAGTTTACACATTAGGATCATCTCTCATGTCTCAAGTGTACTTATAATAACTATGACACTTATTACTGATAATTTGTCACATTTATTTCTCTTAAATTCTTCCTTCAAAATATGCCAAAAATCATCAAATTATCATTGATCTTAGATCAAGAAATCAAAGAAAATTGTTATCGAAATTGCTGCTAGCATTTCTTAAAAAATTCTCCTTTAAAAACATGATTTTAGGTAATAATAATATAATAAGATATTAATTATTAAAATTTTTCATATATTATAAAGATAGTAACATAATATTATCATTTTAAAAGCGAATAATTCATATCTAAATCGAAAAGCTTATTTTAAAATTTTTAAATTGAAGACTGATCTAATTCTTCTTCTAGATTTTTGGTTCAAATGAGTTTTATACAAACTTCTATGGATGAAGCGAATAAAACATATAAATTTATAATTTATAAATTTGTCTTAATGTTGTATCATCAATATTTTTTTTTGCTATTGTTTTTAGATTGATTTAGAAATTTTTCTTATGCAATAGATACAAATTTTATTATAATTGTCTAATGTGATTTTATTTCTTATATTCATTTTGACAATTTCATTAACAATTTAAATCTAAAAATAGATCAATTATTGAATACTAATTCGTTATTTTGATCTGTACCAATCTATTTTTATTTGTCAAATTCTTATAGAAGTGTTTCAGTATAGAACTTATTTCATTATTCATAATTTGATTTAAAATAAGAAAAAACAGAATAAAATTTATCCTTACTATTATAGAAAATTTTGATGTCTTTTTCCTTCAAATTTATATCCGAGGAAGGAATCTAAATAATGATAATATCTATTTTTATACCTTGCCTAATAAAATTTACAAATAGAAATTAAACTCATTCAGTTAGTATTTGGTTGATGTCACACTAAACAAAATATACAAAATCTAGTTTAATTTAAGTTGTGGTTGCAATTGAAAAAAAAGTCTTGATGCTTTATTAGAAAATGAAATTAATTTCATTATATAATCAAAATAGTCTTTGATTTGATCAAAAAAAAATTTTCTTTATTTTTTCATCATCATTTTAAAAATCATTTTCTCCAAGTTTTTTTTTAATCAATTTTTAAGCTTTCACTATCACTCTTCTTGATTGAGTTACTCAAATTTTCAGTTGCAACTTTTAGAGTTGCTGAATGTTAAGATAATTTAGATCTACAATAAAGTAAATCCTCCCATTTAATTCTTGCTTCTGGATCTGCTTAAAGCATTTAATTTATTAATTCAATGTATG